TGTGCTGGTTGAAGCTCCCCTAGGGACTATTGGAGAGTGTCCCATCTCCCATTCAATCAGCATGAGTCTGTTTTAATCTTATTTACTTATCTGACAAACCAGAAGATTTCATTTGTGCACAGCGATCTTCAGCTTAAACAGACTTCAAGAACCACCAAATCTTTCTAACTTTCCATATAGCTGGCTAGTTCTACAGATCTGTGAGAGTACAAGACAGTAATAGTGATTCTTAATTAACTTGATTTTTTTTCATTACACAGACATGTAGAATAGAAGAGTTGGAACTGTTTGCTCTCCAGGCTATCAGGGCCTGATTATAGGATGAGTCAAATTAGAGAACGTTGCTAATTAGCTATGACCACATGGTGTTAAAACAAAAGCTTATGTACAGTATTCTTTTTTGTGGGTAGTAAGTGAAGGGTATGTGATTCCTTTGCCAATTGGAAGTCTCCCAGTCTTAATTGTATGTTGTGGAATGAAAAATATATTATCTTAGAATGATTGGTTACTTAAATAACTATATGATTAAAGGGTAGACTAAACATTAGCAATAGCAAAAATCTAGTTGTAAAGTGTCCAAATCTAACCCAAATGAGGGGCTTATGCCAATTTACTGTGTATAATAATCACACATTGTGCATGAGTTTATAGTTACTTATATAAATGAAGTTCATTTAAAGTTTTGATTTTCATTCACAAACCATTTATGCCACAAACCGTATGATGAACATTTTACTACTTGAATTCTAAAATGCCTTTAGAAAATAAACTAGCCTAAATCCTAGAGCATTCCCTTTATTATACTATAGCTGAAGCATAGAACTTTGAATGTACCTATTAGTTCATTTAAAGATGTTGTCTATCCATCCATCCATTCATCCACCTATCCATTCTTTCACCAAACATTTTCCCCTGGAAAACAGATCATTATATTATAGAAGATTTTTCCTATAATAATAACAAACCTTCAACTGTTTATCCACTTACTGGTACAGAGTTTCCATTTGGTCCTCTTGATCTAACCATTCTCCCTAGGACTTCGACACCATCCACCGTGATATTAGCCGATGCATTTATTGCCCTCTCACCCACTTGCTTGCAGTCAATAACCACTTTGGCCAAAGTCTTGTTGACAACAATGTGAAGCTGGATAAAAGTCAAGATGCTTTGGTAAGTAAGACGTAAGAGGAACATCAACCAAATTTGCCTAACGGCATGACTCATCACTCA